CCCCCCCCTTCCACCCACCATCCCTCTCTCTCCCTCTCCTTCTCTCTCCCCTTCCCTCCCTCTCCCCACCACCCCTTCTCTCTACCCACGTCTCTCCCCTTCTCTCTTCCCCCCTCTCAATACATCCTTCTCTCTTTCTCTGACCCGTCTCTCTGCCACCCTCTCCCTACCCCCTTCTCTCTCTCCCAATCCCCTCTCTCTCCCTTTGTCTCTCTTCCCCCTTCTCCCTTACCCCTTCTCTCTCCCTATCACCCCCCATACCCCCTTCTCTCTCCCTATCCCCTCTCTCTCTCTCTCTCTCTCTCTCTCTCTCTCTCTCTCTCTCTCTCCCCTTGTCTCTCTTTCCCCCCCACCCCCTTCTCTCTCTCTCCCCACCCCTCCATATCTCTGCCCCCCCTCCCAATCCCCTCTCTGTCCCCTTGTCTCTCTCCCCCCCACCTCTCTCTATCTCTCTATCTCTCTCCACCGCCCCCCTCTCCCCCGGGGTGGTGCCCAGTAGATGTGATCAGTATGTGACCCAGCTCGATGAGATGCAGCGACAGTTAGCAGCCGCTGAGGATGAGAAGAAGACTCTGAACTCCCTGTTGCGGATGGCCATCCAGCAGAAGCTGGCCCTCACCCAGAGGCTCGAGGGCCACGACTCCAGCCCCAGGCCGCTCGTCCCGACCAAGGGCAGGCTCCGCACTGCCCGGGCCACACAGCAGGTAGGGGTGGCGAGGGGGCGTGGAGGGTGATAAGGGGGGCAGGGGCGTCACTATAGCCCTGTACTGTCTGGGGGGGGGTATAAGGGGGCAGGGGTATTACTGCAGCTCTGGACTGTCTGGGGGTTGGAGGGGAGTCAGGTCACTGTGATTAATCAAAACGCAGGTTGACCCATTGAACAGTCTGTGGGATCTTGCTGTGTACAAAGAGCTGCCATCTCCCCACCCTTCATTGTGTCTCTCCCTGTGCCTTTCTCTATCTCTCTCTCCCTCTCTCTGTCTTTGTCCCTCTCTCCTTCTCCCCCACCCCACCCCTCACCTTCCCTTTCCCTCCCTCGGCCTCGCCGAGTCTTCTATTCTCGCGACAATCCTCGCTCAGTGACTCCTCTCTCTCTCTCCCTCTCTCTCTGCCTGTTCTCTAACAGCAGCAGAATGTTTGAGGCAGGGGAAGGAGGAGTGGGGAGCGTAGAAAGCCTGAACCCTGCCACGCACTCGCGCCATCGGGACCCTGGAGCGATCGTCCGGACAACGACGACCTGGAGAGCGACGCCCTGGTCTCACCTCACTACCACTCCCACCCAGCCCCCGAGCAGGGGAGCAAGAGGAAGGAGCGATCGAATTCGGAGGAGGGGGTTGCTTGCTGGCTCCAGTTGTCGCTGGGGGGTCTCAGAGTCACCCTCCACGGTCTGACACTTCTAACTGTCTCTGCGCCTTCTCTCGTGCGTGCAGCCTCAGAAGCGCCAGACCCGCCCCCACCCATTCGCTTCTCAACCCAGCTACATCACCCACGGAACATCCTTTTGAGGGAACGCCGTCCAGCTCGATCTCTCTCTCTCTCTCTCTCTCTCACCCCCCTCTTCATAACAAACTGTGCCCCCCCCCATCCCGACTTCCTCACTTCAATCCCAGCCTCTGGTACGCATCTTAAGAACCCAATGGCCTTAACCAGAGATTAATAAACGAAAAAACCACCTCCAAGGGACTGCCTACCACACGTGGGTCACTGCAAACAGTTTTTTTGTGCCTGGTCACGATTTCAGAGGCGGTGGGGAGGGGAGGGGAGTGTTGGGGAGGGTTGGGGCGTTCTCTCGCGGCGAGACCCCCCCCCCCCCCCCCCACTCTAAATCTGTCAGGCAACACCTTTTTTTTGTTAAGCGGTGCCCCGGGGCTGGCGAACAATTTTAAGCCACGCTCGTCGGAGACAGGAGAGCCGTCCTCCGCACACACGAGGGATAGGGCCAGGCGTTGCGGTTTTGAGAATTTGAATGCGACCGAAAACGCCGTGTGTGTGTGTGTGTGGGGGGGTGGGGGGAGGAATGGGAACTAGTAGCCCCCTGGCCCTGCTCTCCACGGGGCCAATGAAAACCAACTTGTGCCAACCACGCCGCCCCTCCGCCCCGCCAACTTGATTTATAAACCCGTGTTCCCTTTTCAGGATTCAGCTGCTGAATGGTGAGATAGAAATCTCCGACAACACGTCTTTTAATCCCTTTTGCTTCCCCCCCCCCCCCCCCCCCCCCCCCC